ATCCTCGGTTGATGTATTTTTCCGGAACCCAAATTGTTGATTGGAAATTATTTTGTATTTGTCTAAATAGGAAACTAGTCGTTTTTTAACTGCTTTTTCAAATATTTTAGATAAGTTGGTTAGTAAAGATATTGGACGAGAGTTCGTGATAGTGGTTCAGTAACTGATTTTTTAAAAGCGGAAAGCCATTTACCAGAGTCAAAGCAACTATTTATTAAAAATTTCAATGGTTCATAGATTAAATTTGCAACTCTCTTAATGGTTTCTGCCTTAATGTTGTCTATACGAACTGCTTTTTTATTTTTTAGATCATTTATTATACTTCCTTAGTATCTAGCGGTGCCAGAAAAAATGAGTTGCAAGTAGTTGTCCTAACTGGTGAATAGTTGCCATCTTTTTTTATATTGTTTGCTAGTGTCTGCCCTATATTTGAAAATACTTTATTAAAATTATTAGCTACAATATTTTTATTTGTAATTAATTGACCTGTTTCATCTTGTATAGCATCTATCGAATGTTTTATTTTATTGGATTTACTTAAATCTTTTACCACATTCCACAAATGTTTTGGATTATTGTTGTTTTCTATTTGACTTGCATAACACTTATATTTTGTTGTCGTTATCAAAGAACTAAGTTTATTTTTGTAACTTTTATATTGCGTTTTAAGTTGTAAATTATTGGGATTTTTTTTACATTTTTAAACATTTTATTTTTTGTATTAATAGATTTAAGCAACGCGTTAGTCATCCAAGGAGTGATTTTGGTGTGTTTTCTTTTCACACGTCGTTTATCGTTTAAACAAAAATTATTTCCAAAAAATATCTTTTATGAAAAAACGTGTTTTTTTTGTGAAAGAAAAAAAAATTAAAAATATGCCAAAAGATTAAATTAGAGAAAGTAATTTTTTTCTTTCAAAAAACAATTTACCAAAAAAAATTTATGAAAAAACAACAATTTTAAATAAATACTGTAAATATGTAAACTATTACAATAAGTACAGAAAAAATAACAAAAATTATTTTTCTTTTAAAAATAGAAAAATCCACGACAAAAAAAAAAATGCAATTTACTAATAATGATTTTACAAACCCTTAATCTTCAACGAAAAGTTAAGACAATCAAAATAAAATAAATTTCCCCACAATAAAAAGTCTTTTTTAAAATACCTTGTTGATTTTTGTTGTTGACTAGTAGATTCTGGCCTCTTTTTCTTCTCGAACACTATGAAGCACTCCCAAGGGAGCTTGTAGATTTTTCTTTTTTGATGAACCCAAAAATTTCCAATTTGAATCCGGCTCGAAGGACCATGAAAAAATACCGGTGTTACTTCTGAATATTTTTTGGTAAAAATGTTCTGTAGCATATGTCGCTGGTGTTAGAAGAATTGGGTTCTTTTGTAAAAATAAATAACGAGTCATAGGTAGTAGAAAAAGAAGTGTTTTTAATTCACTATTTTCACTGAAGTAAATACATAGTGGTTGATTCCATTTAGATATAACAATTTTCTTATCTTCACTAAACAGTTTTAAATATTTACAATTTTAGTTCATCACAATTTGATTAACTAATACAGTTGATTTTTTAGTTACCAACTTGAAAACATTTGTTTGTAGAATTATTTGTGTTATTAAAGATTTAAAGAGTGCTTGCGGGTCATGGTTTAACGTTTATAACGATTCATATGTAGATTGAGTGGTAGTGATGAATGTTTTCAAATTGGCAACGGTACATTTTGAAATCTCAGGAATCGCTAACAATTGCTGGAAATGATTGGACAAAATTTGTCTGACATTATTGTATCTAGTGTTTAATAAATCTAGTGCTACTTGAAAGTTGTCATCCAAAATTGGTAACGATTCTATCAATTTAAGTGCTTCGCCACTAAGGTGAGAGCGTAGGTAAAATAATTTTTCAGAATTTGAACCCATTTGAACATTATTGGTGATTAGCGAATTGAACAAATTAATAAATGATGTGTATTCAAGTGAATTGCCAGAAAATACAGGAATTTTTATTTCTGGCAAACGTAATCTTGATTGAGGAACCCCAATAGCAGATAGAACGTGAGCTGGAGGTGAATTATTAGTGATAACTGTTGGTTTATTTAAGTTGTCCAACATTGTGGTTAATTTTGCAAACAGTTCAAAGTATACATCCTCTGTGATGCCCCTATCAATGTCTGCAGGTTTAGATTGTTCAATTTGGTCCTGAGTTTATAAGTATTTGATAAAATATTGTTTAATTCGTTCAAGTTTTGCGATTATTGGACTTTTGTCTGAACACTCTGAGTTTTCATTAACCCAAGTTTTAGTTTTGGTAAACTGTGATTTACAAATGCCTCTAACTTTTTTCAATTGATCCATTTCGATAATAGTGTTCAAAAAGTGTTCAAAAAAAATTTATGACAAAAACGGCTAAGTATTTTTTTTGTAAGAAAAAATTTGCGAGGGATTGACTTAGAGAAAGTAAATTTTCTCTTTTTAAAAAACAATTTAAACAAAAATTATTTCCAAAAAATATCTTTTATGAAAAAACGTTTTTTTTTTGTAAAAGAGAAAAAAAAAATAAAAATATGCCAAAAGATTAAATTAGAGAAAGTAAATTTTTTCTTTCAAAAAACAATTTACCAAAAAAAATTTATGAAAAAACAACAATTTTAAAAAACACTGTAAATTTGTAAACTATTACAATAAGTACAGAAAAAATCACAAAAATTATTTTTCTTTTAAAAATAGAAAAATCCACGACAAAAAGAAATGCAATTTACTAATAATGATTTTACAAACCCTTAATCTCCAACGAAAAGTTAAAACAATCAAAATAAAATAAATTTCCCCACAATAAAAAGTCTTTTTTAAAATACCTTGTTGATTCTTGTTGTTAACTAGTAGATTCTGGCCTCTTTTTCTTCTGGAACACTATGAAGCACTCCCAAGGAGTTTGTAGATTTTTCTTTTTTGATGAACCCAAAAATTTCCAATTTAAATCCGGCTCGAAGGACCATGAAAAAATACCGGTGTTACTTCCGAATATTTCTTTGGTAAAAATGTTCTGTAGCCTATGTCGCTGGTGTTAGAAGAATTGGGTTCTTTTGTAGAAATAACTAACGAGTCATAGGTAGTAGAAAAAGAAGTGTTTTTAATTTACTATTTTTACTGAAGTAAATACATAGTGGTTGATTCCATTTAGATATAATAATTTTCTTATCTTCACTAAACAGTTTTAAATATTTACAATTTTAGTTCATCACAATTTGATTAACTAATACAGTTGATTTTTTAGTTACCAACTTGAAAACATTTGTTTGTAGAATTTCTTATGCCATAATAATTGTAGTAGATATAACTTGCACCAGAAAATAAACTGCATTAAACGCTTGTAAAAATGTGGAAAGTAACGTGCCGTCGGCAGAAAGCACCTGAACGTTCGGATGGCAAACAACTGTGAGCGATGATGGCAAAAAGACAACTAAACTCGTTTGTGGCAATAAGACAACTACTAAATTCGTTGGTGGCAATAAGACAACTGAACTCCGTTCGCGTCGAGCTCACCCTAATATATACTGTTGAGCCGAAATAAGTGTCCGGGGCATAGTTGACGCACCTATTCGGTTTCAACCAATGAAAACATCATGACATAATGAAATACGTCATTTGTGCTTCGTTAACTATGCGCCGGACACTCATTTTGTTCCAATGCACCGCTGTGCACCTGAAAACACAGGTGTTCGACGTTCGGTATTCTGAGAAAAATGCTATTTATAGTTTTATGACTTCACATTATATTAGGGTAAAAAGCAGTCGAACTATTTGAGAATTGTTTATTTATTTAGTAGATGTAAAATATTAATTTGTTGATGTTTTTACTGGTGAAATTGTAGAATTTAACCATGCACCATGTTCATTGGCTTCAGCAAATAGCTTTCCTACTTGAATGGGAGTTACAATTCGACCAGGATTATTCTTGAGCAACTTTTTAATTGCCTAATTATAAAAAGTGGATAATGGGCTGAAAACTGACACGTCCAGGGATTGTAACAGGCGTGTGAGGTGTGATGAAAAGCAAATCATTACTACTCCATTTTCTTTAGCCATCGTAATAACTTGTAATTGTTTGTGGTTAAAGTGACCATCAAGCAGTAGGAGACTTTTATTATTTTGGAATGAGTGTGTAAATTTTATAAAATACTTGAGTCATACACAAAAAATGTCACTTGTCATCCACCCGACTCTTGAAACAAGCTCAATGTCCCAGCTAGTGCATCATCAGTTAACTCTGGCTTCCACGTCTTTCTTACAAAAATCAGAGCTGGTGGTACAAAATTACCTATTGGATTCAAGGCACAAACTACAGTAATGTGTGCCCCCCGTTATGCACTCATCATGGCACCAACCCTTAGTGTCCATTATTTTTTGTGGACGTTGAACCGTGAAAAGCTCTGAATCGTCTACATTATAGATACGGTCAAATGTGATGTTATATTTCGCCACGGTACGTTCTATAAACTAAAAATTTTCTCAACTTACGGCCTATTGAAACGCTGCGCACGAACTGCTAATGTAGCTTCAGGAGTTCTAAGTCTGGGTTACGTGTCCTAAAGCCCAAAATCCAGTCCCAACCCGTCATTGTATTCATTTTATCAAATTTGTGGGGTAACTGGTTCCTTTCAGCTAACTGAAATGGTTTTTGAGCTTCCTACTGCATGCAAGATAGCGTGCACTTTTTTAACCAAACGAAACTATAGATAGTTCAACACAACTGGTAATCTGTCAATAATACCGCTGAACAACGTATTCAATGCATAGTATGTTTAATTTTATATGTTATTTTATATTATATTTTATATTTTATAAGAAAGAACTAATAATATACATTTATGAACTATTTTAAATTTTTTATAAATAATGAACTTTTTAGGACTATGTGCTCATTCCTTATAGTAGTACTTACATATATTGTAGTAAATGACAAAAAAATAAAAAAAGTATTTATTTATTCAAAATTTATATTTAATGCATACCCAAAGAAATTTTGACAAACCATGTAATTTTAAATTACAAACGTAAATATTTTAATCTTTTTTTAACTTATCATAATTTAACAGAATGCATCTAAAATTGTCAATAGCACTCTTTTCTGGTGATGAACCAGGCGTTCTAGTTCCACATTTTTCAACCAGAGCCTCAACTATTTCAGGATCGGAAATTCCAGAAGATAAATCTGTTTTCATAGCCTCCATATCAATATCCCCGTTTTCTTTCAGACTTCCAAGTAGTTTCAGTCTGCAAAATATATGAGAACCTTCTCCTTCCAAGTTTACACTTACGTCTTCAGTCTTTAACCACTCTTCGGAAGCTTGAGTCGCTGGATTCTTTTGGCATTCTTCAGTGATTTTTTTTATTTTTTTATCATATTCTTCATTAAAACATACCTGTAAATAAAAAATTATAGCTGTAAATAATTTTCTTTATGAGACGACGTATTACAGATTATTAATGATTTCATCTGTCTTATAGGTGTACTGTACCACCCTAATTTACACAGTAATCCACTGCGATTGTTATCTGGATGAACTATTATCAGAAATAAAATTTCTGCATATATGGCACCCATCAAATCCTATAACTATGAAAATTGTTTAAAAATGTAATTGAATAATAATATTATTACTTTACTTTTACAAGAATTAATAAATATAGTAAATTTGTTCATAAGTATTTATTGGATACGTTTTTAAAGTTAAAGTTTTATATGAACCATTAAGAGTTATTGCTCCATTTATAAGAACTAATCTGTCAGCATATTACTCCTATTATACCCCTACCTTCAAAATTCCAAGAACGGATCGTCGAACCACATTTCCCCTCTCATAGGAAATGGATTAGCGATTTATTTAGTTATACCGGTGAATTGAAGATTGAACGTATTTAGTAAAATTTTGAGCCCAAAAGAGAAAGTTATTTGTGAATTTTCCAATAAAACTAAGAAAATTAGTTAGTCAAAACATTCTTCGTTTAAGAACATCTGTTACGAAGGCAGTTTTTTATAGAAAAAAAAAATAGTCTTAGCACTATTAATAACGTTTTGCTTTTAAAGAAAAACATAGACAATGCAAGTTTTTACGTTTTTGGTGATCATAAAAACTGCGATATTTATTAGAGATTGGACTACCTAGACTTCAAACTCAGTCTGCCTTAACAGAAAATCCAGTCATTGTCCAAAATTTACTTCTTGTAGTCGTAAGGGGTTGCAGGAATACTGGCACAAATCAGAATGGTAGAAGACTTATAGTCAAACCAAATGTAAAGATTATTTCAGAAGCATACAGATAAAACCAAAAACGAAATAACCAATTTCAGATCTAAACCTGACTTCTGCAAATTATACATGCTTTGTCAGATCACAGCAGAAGTCTATTACATGATGTTGATAGTAATATTGTAAAACAATTTTATGCGACAGTCGCTAAGTTTGTAGGTGGCGAAAGAATCAATTATTCCAGAGGGCGCTCTTACCAAAGTAGATGTTTTTCAGCAGTTGTATCATATAATTCGAAATGGGGGAATTCAGAATTGAAAAAAACTTTAAACCGTACTAACCAATCCATGTTAGTAACTGAATTGAAAAAAAAAAGGCGACAATTGGCAATAAAATCAAAATCTAATCGCAAATTAAAAAAAAGTTAATCTGCAAAAACCAATAAAACTGATTTAGATTATGGAGAAAATTGTACCAAAAAGGATTTTTAAACAAATTCCTTTCATTTGACTTTAAAAGAAATGTAATTCAGGAACAAACTATATAGCAGGGTTTGGTTTGAAATTCGTAGAAAAATGATTACGGCCTCACACTTTAAAGCAGTGTGTACTAAACGAAATACTACTTTATATGAGCCTTTAGTCAAAAGGATTATTTACCAACCACCAGTCAATGCTGCTCCTATTTTTCATGGCAAAAAGTATGAAAAAACGGCACTTTTGCAGCTTCAAGAGCAGGAAAATAGAAAATTTGTAGGTGCTACTCCAGACGGCATTGTAGGAGATGAATTAATGGTTGAAATAAAATGTCCATACGCTGCATGTCAAATGCAGGTAGAAGAGGTGATTAAATTGAAAAAATACTATTTTAGATTTTTAATAAAGACAGCAATAATTTTGACATTAATATCCACCATCAATGGTATTATCAAATACAAGGCCAATTACATATTACAGGACGAAACAGATGTATTTTTGGTGTATGGACAGTAGGGTGCATCGTATTGCATATATGAAAAATGATTTTGTTGCCTTTTAAAAATGTAATATCTGTCGAAAGCTGGCCTTTTCAAAATAAATTTCAAAAATATTTTTTAAATTACAAACAAAAATGTCGTTCCACCCCCGCCAACCCTCCAAAATAAAAAAATGTAAATTAGAAAATTAATAGTGAACAAAATGTTGCTATTGTTTAGTAATACATTTTAAAAAAAAAGTACTTTTGTTTCTTTAAAAAACGTCCACCCCCGCAACACCCTTAAAAGTCAAAATATCGATTTTTAAAATCTAATACCTTACAAAATATAAAAAAATGTATATGTATCATTTTTGTTATTTGACATTTTTCTCTGCGATATTATCTTCCAGTCCCGCCGATAATATTTAACTAGGCTTGTATCCGCGCTTATAAAATACAATTTTATGGAACATAGCTCAAAGACGCAAAAAGTGTTTCCCTGGCTCAAGTGAACTTTTCCACGAAAAGAAGAATGAAGCGCCTAAGGATCCATTGGACATACAAAGTAATGAAACTTCTAAAAGTATGTGTTTTCGAGAACCAGATGCAGGTCCATCTAATCAAGCCGTTACTACTGACATTAAAAAAAAGAAATGTTTTAAAGCTTGACAATTTACCCAGAATATTAGACAGATACAAAGTGTCCGATAGAGTAGGTGCAGCAATTGCCTCTGCTACTTTAGTTGATGCAGGTCTAGTTAATAAATCCGATCAATCCAAAGTCATAGACCAAAACAAGATAAGAAGGAGCGAGAACCAAGAAAAGAAGTGAACGACAATCCAACACAATCCAGTCAATTCGTGGATTATATTTTGACGGCTGTACGGATAAGACTGTGGAAATTTCTCTGGATGTAAAATGTCGAACATCTAGTGCAGAAGAGCACATCGTTCTAATCGAAGAACCGAGATCTTCCTATCTAGGACACGTTTCGCCTGGAGTTCCAGTGCTGAAAATATTTTTAGTGGCATTATAGACTTTTTTGAAACTTCAACGTCAAAATCTTTAGAAAACGTAGTGGTAGTTGGTTGTGATGGAACCGTTACAAACACAGGGCACAAAAGTGAAATTATTGTACGCTTAGAGCAGCACATTAAAGCTCCTGTTCATTGGTTCATTTGTCAACTACATGCAAATGAACTGCCGTTGCGTTATTTAATTCAGCACTTAGATGGCAATACAACAGGGCCTAATATGTTGTCGGGAGAAATTGGTAAGGTACTTCAAAGTTGCGAAAACCTTCCTAGAGCCAAGTTTAAAACAATAAATGTTGATCTGCCAGAGATTTCCAGGGAATTTAAGCACAGATTAGTTATACCTTTATGATATTTGCAAGTTTGTCTCGACCGGTGTTTGTAACGACAGATTTCTGAACATACATCCAGGAAAGTTGGTTCACTCCCAATGGCTTACCACCGCAAATCGTATCCTAAGACTCTATGTGTCGAAATTTTGGCAGAGTTCGTTGCAAAAGTTTATGTTCCGATGTGATTTGCAGTAAAAACCAAACCATCCTGTGTTTATGGTGTAAAACATATCTTTGACACTATTAAGCGTTCAAGGTATTTGCCACTTGAGCTGAAAAGTGTAATCGACCCCGTTATCCAAGGAAATGGTTATTTTGGCCACCCAGAGAATATGCTGTTGACAATGTTAACTGATGAACGAAAAACTATAGGCGAATTATTTAAATTAGATATCAAACGGATCTACACACAGAAGTTCGTGCATTCATTTTACCCAAATTTAACTTCGATGCCGAAGACTATTGTGACCTTCTTCAAACTTGGCAGGAATTTCCTCTCACTGAACCACCTCTTTTAAAACAAGTATCTGAAGACGATTTGCAAGAAATTGTCAAAGACTACTCCAATTCGTTGGTCATTGCGGAAATAATGCAGTTCCCTTGTCACACTCAAGCTATACAAGGGGCAGTTAAACTTGTGACAGAGTCTTCTTTATTAGTGACTGATCCAATAAGGCGCGATGGAGTCATTAGGAACACCATTTTTATCAGGGAAGTAATGCCAAAGTTTTTTTTTTAAATCTTTTTTCGGCAATAAAAAAGTAATAAAACGACTTTTATAATGTTATATCAATTTGGTCCCTAAAAATTTTTTTGTATGCCTTGCGGAAATGGAAAGAAAAATTGGAACAAAAAAAAAAATTAACAGTGGTAAACTGAACAGAAACTAAAATGATTACACCCTATTACGTTTTTAAAATCAAAACAAAATATATTAAGGGGTTGCAAGGGTGGAAAATTTTGCACAATTTTTTTTTATTTTTATTTTTAGTTATTAGGTTCAAAAATCCCTTGTTTTGAGACCTGTCGCATTTCTTTAAGTAAAATTTAATAATAACGATGCACCCTAATGGGCAGGTCCCAATTATCCACTTAAAGTGGAATATATAATAAAAAGAGACGATTTCTGGTTTAAAAATATGAAGGAAAAATTACAAAAATTTATATAAACTGTATGTTGCCAGAATTGGTAGATCCAAGGCATAATCGGGGAACGTCATTAAGAGAACCTTAGACGCTATTCAAAAATTACAAAATAAAAAACAAAAATAATTACCTCCAAAAAGTCAAATAACATTAATAGTAAGATGTTTCCACAAACCGCTATTTATTCTAAAAGTATTTTCTTTAATATTTTTGATTTTAATCTAGGTACTGTTAAAACGTTATAATACCTATATATATATTTGCAGGTCTTCGGTGACTAATTTATTTGTAGTACTGGATCCAATTAAGTTACCAAAAAATAATAACCGATCATTTTAAATACATTTCTTATGCCTACTTTGTAAAAATAATATCGGGCTGTTTAGTCAAACGCCCTGCTCTTCACAAAAACAAAATTAAATTATTTTATAATTTGTGATACATTTACATCATATCTAAAAATGAAAAAAAAAATGATGTACATGGTTCATAATCAGTGGCGGCTTGTAGTTATTTAAAATGGGTGTTCACTTTTTCCAATAATTTCATTATATGTAAGTTTGGATCAAAACTTTGTACAAAAGCCAATATCGCTGTTTTTTTATTATTCGAGTTTGTATTAAGTGTAGTTATTATTATCAGCTTCATACTGTTTTCAAGCACTACAATTATTAATAAATGAATATTTTAGTGTGATATTTGTTCTGTTTTTAATACGTTGAAAACCATCTATAAACATTATTAGTTAGTGAACTGACTTCTGTGTTTGTGAGCGGCGCGCCAATTAATGTGTTCTTTGACAGTTTGCAGGATCTGTTGGCGTGGTGTATTCTCTTTTTTGCTATATGCATTTGGCATATCGTCTCACTCGTTAGGCTCACTCATCATAATGCGCCACAAACACAGTATACTTAGGTATATCGGGTCGATGGTGTAGCGGTCTATCGCGCGAGTTTATGAGTTCGAGACTGCTGGGCTTCGAATCCCAGACCAGACCATGTGGATTTTTAATTAAATTGCATGGTTCGGTTTAGGATTTGATGTGTGCCGTATTAATGGAATTTCAATTTCTGTTGATATGATATGTAGATTATAAAATCGCCATACATTATCGTCTCGATGATGGTGGGTGAGGTTTTCCGGGTTTTCCTAACCTGTAGGTCAAATGGCACCATCAATCATCCTTAAGTCGCCCCGGAGCGCCACGGCAAATAATAATAATAGCCGTCCCTTCCCCTACACAAATCGCTCAGTCGACTACAGGGGTTGAAATTCACTCGTAAGGGGGTGAATTAGTGAGAGTATTATTATTATTATACTGTGACACAGAAACGCGATCAGCCAGAGGACAATGATGAAAAAAAGTATAGATTAACACGTATGAAAATAAAAATATTAAAATTAAATTTATATTTTTGTTATTTATGTAATATTAAAATAATGTGTTTTTATGAAATTTAACAGGGTGTTCACTGCATAAATGAACCAATGGAGAAACCGTCCCTGTTCATAATATATTACGCCAATTTTGGCGTTTGTTTGTCCTTCTATAATATTCACTTATGTTAAAAGCAAAAATTCTTTTTAAAATCGTTGACATCAAAAAGAGAAAATATGTATTTATATCTCAAAGTTAGCAACAACAAAATATGATAACATCATTCAACGACAGCCATCATGAAATTCGGACCAATCAAAGCCGGATAGTAACAAAACACTTCGGCTCTGTTCCCTCAGTTTTTAAAATATTATTTCTATAAGAATATCTTTTTGAGTTTCAGTCAATATATATAGACCGAAATAATTCTGAATTTAATTCTCTTAAACCAATAGCATAAGTTACGAATAAGAAGCATTCGTAAGTATTGTAAAAATTGCAAAATACTATTATACGTTAAATGGTGTAAATTAATATATTTTATATATTTGTACAAAATAAAATATTAAATCATCTTCTTGCTTTATTTATTATATGCTAAAAAGAGGGCATCCAAGAAAATATCTTTCTGTAAACAACTATACAGTCTACAAATTATCAGATCACTACAACAGCAGACAGCAACAAAATCAGGAAAAACTTGTAAGTAAAACTATTTTCTCCACGTTTCATTCACAGATAAGTCAGAAAACATTTAAATTAATAATATAATAAGAAACATTTGTTAAATACAATATTTATAAGGCTGATTTATAGATTTTATTATATTAGTAGCTTAGTTGATATTCTTTGAAAAATGAATTATTTTAGAAAATATAATATATACCTACTATAAAAATATAATTCTTCTACCTCTACCTAATTTTTTCTAATAAAAAACTATGTTTTAAATATATTGAAACATTGCAAATTCTATATTGGAAACAAAATTATCTCATGTAATAAAATTTCTCTCTTCGCACCAACCGAGCAACAAAAAATTTAAGTTCGACTCTATGTACCCTTATTCCGTATCTGGCCAAATTTCAATACTAGGTAGACGAGGAAAGGCAACAGTACCCATTCTTCGGTACGAACACGAAACGTCTTGAGAGGGGGTATCGTAATCATAGTTATCAATCATTTTTATATCCGAAATTACATTGCTATTTTAATGATAACGGCTTTATATTAAGTCCAATTTTAAAAATTATTTCTTGATCTAATTAAGAAAAAGATTTACTACAAGCTGACATTAATCTTTCGAAAAATAATGCATGTTTATTAATGTTAATTCTCTATTAAAAGTTGTCCTTTTTTAAACAAAATTAATAAAATTTATAATTTTTTGTAGACAAAATGGACCATTTTTTCAAAAAATATATGGTATTATCTTTAAAACTGTGTCTTCTAGGATTAAAACAGAATGCCTATTTTTAATACAAATTTCCTGCTATTGTCATCGGAGCAATAACTCTTAACATCAACATGGATTGAGCATTTTTTATTATGACCACGGTATAATTATCTTCTTTAATAATGATTGTGTTAACCAATATTGGTCTGATTTTTAAGGTTTTTTTTTTTGTTATTATTAGGAACGTTAAATTACATTCAAATAATATTTACAAGAATAATCGATAGGTCCTGATATCAAAACAGATTAGATTTATATATTTTATGTATACTATACTTCTACTTACTATTAAGGAACAGCAACACAGTAATATAGCAATGTACTTCATATTTAAAAATAGGATATCACTTGTTGTGGATGTATTGTTTATATATAATTTTTATAATGAGCAAATATACTCATTAAAAAAATAATTTTCGAAAATATGTTAATACTTGTAAAATAAATTATTTTAATTTACCTCACAATTAATTTGAAATAATAGATATGTTCATTGTTGCTTGCTTGAGTAAGTACAAAAGTGTTTATCTTTATATTAGTATGTTACTAATAATTTAAATAAAAATACCACGCATTATAAAAAAATTTGTCAAGTCACCTTACCTAAGGGGGCTTAGCATTGCATTCGTGTCGACAATTTTTTTTACCTAGGCTGTTTCATACTGTTATCAACGTTTCTGATTATTATAAATCTGAAAACGCAAAAATTATCTCTACGTCTCACAGAGGGGCTACGTTAGACAAAACTCACCAAAAACTCTAAAATCGAAAGGTAACTGAAAAAAATTATCACGGTAAACCTATTGGAATAAATTCTTCTTTCTAAGTCACATTGGTCTTGGATTGTCCGCATGATAAAACAAAAGATAAAGCGTCTTAAATGCGTTCATTGCTGTAATTTTTTGAATGCAATTATTATTGATAAATTTGGTCTACTCTTTGTGTTATAATAATCGAATTAACTTTGATAATAATCATGCAAAATAATCGACATGGTAAGTAGATTTGTATTGCATAAAAAATTATTGTTGTATTTTAGTGTTATTCCATGGAGACATTTTTATGAGTTCTGAAAAAAAATTACAAATTTTTTCAGACTTAGGATTTCTTTTAGACAAAAAGTAGCAAATTCTGCCATATTCAGTGTAGATTTTGGCATAGTTTCTTCTCGTGATCATTCTTATTTATAGTGGTATTGCGATTAGCTGCTACTTTTTGCTTATAATGCCGTAATTTAGGCAGGAGGAAGAGGATATTTTTGTAACACTATTACTAGAACTGACAAACTGACAGTCGAAAAACTTTATTTTATATTTTTTTTTTTTAAATGTTTTGTTACCTCATGCTTGATCCTAGTTATTTACTCGTCTATAATCTGCAGCTTATGATGTGCCTACAGCATTGATTGTGTGTAAAAATCGTTATAACGAAATGATAAGAATTTTATTTAATTAGTTATCACAACAACTACTCAAATTTCAAAAAACAATTATCTCTTTATTATCCATAATGATTAAAGTTTTGATGAAATTTTTGTTCATTTATATTGTAACCTTCGAACTTTTATTTATCAGTTATTCCAAATTCTGTTTTTATGGAAAAGTTTGTCAAATTTTTTACTAAATTAATGAGTATTTATCAATATTATGTTTGTTTTAAATAAGCAAATTTTGTTTTTCTTGCGTATTTTTATGTAATCAGTCATTAAAATTATACTTCATTGTGTTATTAAAAAATGTACAGAATCATAACTAAAATATTTTATTTCGTGCAAAACTTTTTAATTAATAAATGCAAAGCGCTTTCGGCTTATTTGCCATCATCAGTGCTTATCTACAAAAATTGTGGATGTAAACTTACAATTTAAAAAATATATTATAAAATCTGAATAAGACTTTTAAGTCAAAAGTTAAAATTGTATATATACGATTTTTTGAACAAATTAACAATTACAAGCAACAAACAAAGTTACAAAAAACTGGTATTGGGAAAAGTGAGTGTGGGATAAGCCCTTACAAATCAAATCTGATCTCCAGAAGCAAGTTAGCTTGTGTGGAATTAAGGAATTATGCCACCTTCACCATTCGCACAATTGAAAGCAAGTTAACAAATTAGTTAAAATTTAAAGAAATTTACAAATGGAGGGTGACTGTGGAAGATATATTGAAATTTGAATCTAGAATACATTAGTGAGTATAAAGAAAGTTAAACGCAGAAGGCCAAAGTAAAAAAAACTAAAGGTTTTTTTTTTTATTTTATATACATTATAATTATAAAAAAGTCTACCTACTGTCCACAACGTATCCAACAAGTTCCTGGTCATCCTCATTCCCAAAATTAGATATTTCGGGATATTTACAACTTGCTATATCATAATCTTAGTATTATTAATATTTTCAAATTTAAATTTTTCTATTCATTTTTATTCGAGTTGTTTAACCTTTTCCACATGACAGTGGTGACAAGCGACACTTGAAGACGTTGACTTGTTAAATATCAAGAAAAGGAGGTGCGTTCACCTCAGTGTGGAACATGTTTCTCCGAGTGTGATTCGAGTGATTGGAGGTGGTTAACGGAGATCAAAATTTGTTAGTATTGAATTTAAAGATTTGATTTATTGTTAGTTAAATTTAAATAAATGTTTAATATAAATGATATTATTATTTTGATGTCAAGACAGAACAAAAATGTCACTCGCGTGATTCTGATGTGCTAGCCTGGGCTCTCTTTCAGAGAACCCAAGATGGCACAACTGAACCCGCGGTCCCTAAAGGTGAATCTGATGTTTAGTTCTAAAAATTACTAAATCACTCATCAAGCGTACTCATGGTTGAAAGAGACAAAATAGAGAACAAAAAAAGTTTTAAACAAAAGAGTACTATGGTCCCAAAGGTAGACTCTGATGGGTGAAATCGAGTTTAGGAGGGGATGGCTCTCGAAGGCTTGTATTGGGCGATTCGGACCTACATCATCACAGAGGGTTAATTGAGTTGTCTATGGAGTGGTATGAAATTTCTGTTAAGATTCACTTGAGTGTTGAGACAGAGGATATTGTTGTCTCTTTCAAGAGTAATTTCAACATAGTTTTTTGTGTTTAAGTTAACTAATAATTTGGAGTTTTTTGTTGGGCTAAAATTATGTTGATTGTGCAGATGCTAGTTCATAATCTTTTGTTTGCAACAATTTGCTTATTGAATTAATGTAGTTTAAAAGCTTATAACAAAGAACTATAGAACACAAAAAATTAAATTGTTTAATACCACTTAATAAACCCGAGGCTTTGTCTCTTAATAAATTATCAATTTCAATGCTTAGCAAGGCATCGTATACGCCTACGATATAAAATCTTAAAGGCTTTGAAGCCTCTTTCATACTCTCCCATCTAGTATTACTTAATGGCTTTAAAGTCAAACCCTGGACATGTTTTAGAAGAATTGCCCAGCGGAAAGTAGATGATGAAAAAAATACATATATTTTCTGAATCATATTAAAAAAATTAGCGCCTTCCAAAGATAATTTAAACTTGGAACGTTCAAGGCAATTATCTCGCTTGTCTAAAACCTTCATAAAAACATCCCTCTTTACCGTCAGAACAAACAGGAACACTTCCCAAATCCATCTCCAAGAAAAAAGCATTCCACAGGGATCCATAATAAGACCAACTTTTTTTCTAGCAGCCCTAAACTATATCTTAAATGATTTACATAAACCTATAAAAGCCAGACTATATGTAGACAACTTGGTTGTTTATCAAAAAGTAAAATCTCTAACATGAATGACAACTATTATCCAAACAACCCTAAACAAGCTACAAGAATGATCACTCACCACCGGATTTAAATTTTGCTCACCCTGTCCAAGCCTCATGTTATACAACAAACTCTTAAATCTTACATCGACGATCAAGTTTCTAGGCATGATATTTGATAGTAAGCTAACTTGGAAGGAACACATGAAACAATTAGCACATTCCTGCAACAACAGAATTAACTTCTTAAAGACACCGGCCCACAGACCAAAACATATTAATATTATTATTACTGTACAAAGCCATCGTAAGGTCAAAAATAGACTATGGGTCAGTCACCTGCTAGACTCCATTCACAACTCAGCCTTAAGAATCTCCTTTGGAGCATACAGAACGACACTTGGGCAAATCCTCTGCAATGAGACCGAAGAACCATGCCTCCAACTAAGAAGAAAAACACTATATTTCTATCTTTCTCGCATGCCTCGTCAACATCAGCAGCTAGGAACAAACCGGTATACTTTAAGTCCTTTAATAATAGATATCAAAATTATCCTAATAATAAACCTAGACTAGCAAAACCCTACTACGAGAGAATTCGGAAGTACCTGCAAGAATTTGAACTAACAATTACCAATATACTATCAAATAAGGTAGAAATCTACCCTCCTTGGATAATAAAAATTTCCTAAATGCAACACCACCCTCTCCCTGCATAAAAAAGGAACAACTCATGCACTACTAGAATTTGCCTTTCATGAAATGTTAGAGAAAAAGTTCCATGAACAACAACAACAACAACAACATACGGATGCATCCAAAAATATATAGGGAACTGGCTGTGCTGTAGTAACTGGTACCGATCCTTTCCTCTGTAAACTTTCATCACAAAGCAGTTTTTTCTTTAGCGAAATGTATGCCATATATCGCATCATCAAGTACACCAACGAAGCCAATATCCCTTTAGCTGTCATTATCACAGACTCACAGAGTTCCCTTCAATCTACCCTAAAAACACAGTAGAACAACTTGTGAAAACAGAGCTCTATTTATCCCAACAGCAGAATGAGATCATTAAGTTTATATGGATGGAGACGCATTTCCATGTGTAGAGAGAAATAAACATGAGAATATTTCTGAATTCAAGCAATGATTGGCTGATTCTGGATCATCGGCACACATGACCCGTAATAGAGATATTTTAATACATCTGAGTCATTTATTTCACCAACAGAAATACAAGTTGGAAATGGTGATCTTATTTTGGCATTTGGACAGGAAGCAGTTAATGTACAAATGAAAGTTTTAAACGAATGGCAGAAAATCCATCTTGAAAACGTATGGTATGTTCCAGATGTAGGTAGAAACTTGTTTTCTGTGGGACACACCATTAGTAAAGGTTTTCAGTTTTAAGCAGATTGTAATGGATGTGCAGTTATAAAAGATGTTTTACCAAGAATATCTGGAAGACGAACATCGAAGGGTCTATATGTTTTAGACATGAAAGCTTGTGTTGCTTTAGTTCCTGTAAAATTATGAATAGTTTCGTCTTTAGACAATATTCAGTTATGACACAAAAGGCTTTGCTCCAAAACAAAAAGTATATTAAGGAAATTTCGAAAAGATATGATATACAAATAGTTCACGAAAATGCTAATTATTACTGTGAAGGGTGCATTTTGGGTAAACAGCATAGGTTGTCATTCAAAGATCGTATGAAAGCAGGTGATCTGCTTTATGCAGACATTTGCGCCCCCATGCAAGAG